TCCACCTGCCTCAGCCTCCCAAAGTGTTGGGATTACAGGCGTGAGCCACCATGCCTCCCAATACTTACACTTACTGACCTAAGCATTGCAGTAGTTCTTGAGGTACACAGTTGTGTTCTTGAAAATGAAAGCTTCACAGAGTTCTAAGTGAATCTTGCAGACAATTAATCTGGAGTTCCTAACAAAAGTTATTTAATGACTTGATTATTTGAGCATTTTACATTTTGATACACTTAAGAAGCTAACAAATCATTTCCCTGTGTGATCTTTGAGATTCTTACTAAATAAACTGGTTACCTTATCAGTTTCTTGTTCCCTTCCTTCATAAAGTCATTCATTCAACAAATATCATCAACTGGCTACTTTGTGCCAAACATTTTTTAGGAGTTCTGATAGATGAAGTCCCTGTTTTGTAGAGTTTCCATAATAGTGAAAGAGTGGAGGGAGACAGACAGTAGGGAAATAAATGGACAAGAATTTAAAATAGCATTAGGTACAATAAAGAAAGCATAATGTGTTGGTATGATACAGTGACTTGGCAAGGGGCCAGGGAGACAACAGATCCTGTGGCCAAAGAAGGCCTCTTTAAGGAATTGCTATCTAAGGTGAGACTTGAACCATAAAACGGAGTCAGCTGTTAAGAATTGGAGGGGACAGAGGAAGGAGTCCGGGCATGGTGGCTCATACCTGTAATCCCAGCACTTCGGGAGGCGGAGGTGGACAGATCACTTGAGCCCAGGAGTTTGATACCAACCTGGGCAACATGGCGAAATCTCATCTGTACAAAAAATACAAAAATTACTCAGGCATAGTGAAATGCACCTGTAGTCCAGCTACTCAGGAGGCTGAGGTTGGAGGATTGCCTGAGCCTGGGAAGTCAAGGCTGCAGTGAGCCATGATTGCGCCACTGCACTTCATCCAGGGTGTTAGAGTGAGACCTCATCTTAAAAAAAAAAAAAATTGAGGGAGGAGGGGAGGCTAGTGGGATCAGCCAGTGCAAAGACATAAGACTGATGTGGTCTTACCTTGTTGCAGGAGCGAAGGAAACCTAAAGTGGTCAAGCATAGAAGTAGAGAATTATGACGAGGTTGGTAGGAGTTGAGACTAGAGGCCTGTCTGAGATTTTTAACTTTTTTTTGTGCTGTGGACCTTCTTGGCTACTGTTGAAGCCCATTAGTAGTGTTTTTAAATACATAAAATAAAACGCAGAGTTACAAAGGAAACCAATTGTATTGAAATATACTTATCAAAATATGAAACAAATTCTTGATGTAAGAATGTCTTTTTTATTAATGCATTGAAAAATACCTGACAGAAAGCCTACTACTTGACTTCCGAAGTAAGAGTGAGGTTAAATAATGCTTTAAAATATCTCAAAACTAATATGATATGAAAATATAGCTGGTGATTTAATTAGTAACAAAGACACAGGTACTGGTAATACTGCCATGGCTTATTGCCTACATTAATAATGAAAGCAAACGCTAAATTTCAGCTAGAGGCTAGAGGAAATAAAACTAGAATTTTCTTCTTTGTTTATGTACTGCTATGAATACCAGGAGTCCTTTGGTTAAGACCTCAGGATAGCTTGTGTAGGGCTTTCCAGCCTGTGATCACTGGTGGAGAATGTAGCTTTACAAAATCTAGTTGGAAATTGGCAACTGGGGTTTGGTACAAGTTACAAGGAAGGGAAGGAATTTAAGATGCTAGTGAAAGCTTGGAGGATAAGGGAGCAGGAGAACTCGTAAGGAAGTTTATAAACTGAGAAGGGCTGCAGCAAAGTGGGCTCGTGTGCTTGAGGAGCCAGAGGACATGTTGAGGGTGATATAGGTTCTGAAGTTCATACAGATATTTATGCAGTATGGATTCTTGGAAAACCTTCTTCAGTCATGTGCTAGAAAAATAACAGCTTATGGGAAAAACAGGGTTGAAGCAGACCTGAAAATACATGAATTTTTAAAAACCACTTCTAACAGAAGCATAACAAACTATAATAAAAACTGTGGCCTTCCTGGCATTTGCACCCAAGCACCAGCATTAGCCAACTCTTTGAAGCCTTAGATCTGTGGCTGTTGTTTTCTCCTTTGAGATGTAGGTCCTTGAGGGCATTTGCTTCTAATAGAGGCTAGTTTCGTCAGAATTAAAAATCTGAACCATGGTATGAAATTGAATTCTTTTTTTTTTTTTTTCTTTTTCGAAAACACTGGCAAATGTTTTGTACCCTTGAGCTTTCCCACATATCTTAACATAGTGAGTGGAAGTACAGTGGCTGTTAAGCCAACTACTCTGAGGTCTTCACTGCTAAGGCTTACTCTTAATTGTGTGAGAGCTTAACCTTGATCCCTTTAAAACGTTAATGGGCTGGGAAAAAAATCATTCATAAACCAATGCCACCTCTGAATTTTGCTGCCACGATTCCCTTATTTACCAATAGTGCATGAGCTAATTTGGAATAAAGAACTATGCATTGTAGCACAGCAGACATTGTGTGGGCAAAGTGTTGTTTTTATTCTGTCTAAATAGTGCTTCACACGTATGTACATATTTTCTAAATATGTATAGATGCTGTTGTGATTAATAATAAAACATGAATCCTTAAAACAATTTTGCTGACTTCATAGTAGTTTTTCATCATTTTCTCAATAGCTGCTAAAATTTCTGGAGAAGTTTGGGAACTGTTGCTTTGGAGTGAAATGCAGTGTGTTAGGTATCACTTGCGGAATTCTTCTAAGGGAATTTATTGGCGATTAAAAAAAAAATCCTTGCGTTATACCAGTAGTAATACAAAGTAACTTGTTGAGCTTCTGTTAAGTGTCAAGGACTGTACAAGTATGGTGTATAGTTATCTCATTTATTATTTCTGGGTAGTTATTATTATTCCTTTGCACAAAAAGGGAAAATGAGGCTCAAAGTATCATGCTCCAGATAAGAGAGCCAATGGGTAGCAGAGCTGGGATCGTTACCCAGGTCTCTAGTCCTGCCTACTTTTTCACAGTATATACTCCATTGCTTCACTTACTCCTTCATACATGATTCCCCAGCATATGCTTTTTTTTGTTTTGTTTTGTTTTTTGAGATAGAATCTCGTTCTGTTGCCCAGGCTGGAGGGCAGTAGTGTGATCTTGGGCTAACTGCAGCCTCCACCTCCTGCGTTCAAGCAATTCTCCTGCTTCAACCTCCCGAGTAGCTGGGACTGTAAGCCTGTGTTACCACACCAGGCTAATTTTTGTATTTTGAGCAGAGATGAGGTTTCACCTTGTTGGTCAGACTGGTCTCAAACTCCTGAGCTCAAGTGATCTGCCCGCCTCAGCCTCCGAAAGTGCTGGGATTATAGGCACGAGCCACCATGCCCGGCCTCCCCATCATGTACCCTTAAATACCATCAAGTACAGTTCCATTGTGTAAAAACTTGGCTTGATTTAATCTGTTAATTGGAACACTGTTATTAATGGAAATTAGGAATATGACGTAAGCTAGAGATTTTATTTTAATGACTTTGGGTTATTAAATCTATAAGAAATGAAATTCATTTAGTCATAATTAATGTCATATTTCTGCATCTGTATTACTTGTTGGATTTACAGACGAGGGAGGTAATGTATTATTAGTGGGAAGCTTTGAGTGCTACATCATTTCCCTTCCTATAAAATAACTTGAGTACTAAACAATTTGAATTAAAACACCTGAGTAAATAGTAACTTTGGAGACCTACTGTACTATTTGTAACTTTTGGATCAAATGATGCTTGTTTATCTCAGTCACATTTTTATGATTTGTATTTTGTAAAAATGAGATCTTTTTATTTGTTTGTTTTACTACTTTCTTTTAGGAAAACACCAGAAATTATTGTTGGCAGTTTTTGTGACTCCTCTTACTGATCTTCGTTCTGATTTCTCCAAGTTTCAGGAAATGATAGAAACAACTTTAGATATGGATCAGGTATGCAATATACTTTTAAATTTAAACAGTAGATATTTTTTAAAAACAAAGGCCACATTAAGAAAGCGTGTAGATTTTTCTTTTTAGTATCTAATTGTAGCACCTTTGTAGACAGTGGACGTAAGACGAAGTGACAGATGGAAAAAGGATTTTTTTAAAAAATAGCAACTGTTTCAGTGGATGAAATACAGATTAGCAGAGGAAATGAATATTGGGCATAACTGTCGTGGTTAAAGACAATCTCATAAATGAACAATTTCATAAATGCAACTGCATTTTATTTTCAAAGAGAAGGAAAATTATAGTCACTGGAAAAGGAAAGAGAAGTTAGAGGTAAACATAGGACACACAAGAAAACTTTCATTTTGTTTGTTTTCTTGTTTTTCTTTTGAGACTGGATCTCCCTCTGTTACCCAGGCTTAAGTGCAGTGACACTGTCATAGTTCACTAACCTCTCAAACTTCTGGGTTCAAGTAATCCTCCTGCCTTAGCCTTAGTAGCTGTAAATACAGCTGTGTACCACCACGCCTGGATACTTTTT